TGACTCTGCGAGAGACTTGCCAAACACCTTGTGTGTTTTGGCTCAAGCGTGGAGTGAAAAAGAAAGTGCTCTGCGTTTTTCACAGTGGGCGGGTCGCAAACCTCATCGTGCTTTAAGTAGAGGTACCCCCTGCATCTTGCGTGTGGGCTTGACACTGATGATGGGGCCCCTGCCTGTGCTCGTGAGGCGGGTAACCTGCGCTGTGCACTGTGACGGGCTGAAGGAGACGGGCGGGCGTGTCATAGGATGGGGGGCCGGGGCCAGGGGAGACTGCAGGACTGCAGTCGCCCTGACCTTGTAGATGTCCCAGCCAACCAAGGCGGAGTCGCAAGCCCAGGCGGTTCAGCCGCTTGGCTGCGCTCAAAATACGGTGTGGCATGGACATCCCCAGCTTCCCCTAAACTGCTGCGCCTGCACTTGGTAGCGTGCAGCAGGAAACAGCGAACGGGTTCTTCTTTCGCAAAGCAGATGGTTTGTGTCTTCCGGAGATATGTTGCGCAGTGCTCATTGAGGAGCCCATGATAAGTCGGAGGGAAAAAAAGCCTCCCAGCCATGAATTTGGTCGTTCGTAGGCGCGATGCAGCAAGCCTGTGTGGTCTTAGTTAGCAGGACACCCGCGCTCTGCAACGGCCACGGTGAGGATATGGGAGCCAACACGGACCCTTCGGTATTCCCAAAACTTGAAACTCATGGCATTTACACCATTAAGGCCAGGAAGGGCACGGCTACCGCGCAGCAAGAACTCCAGCGCAATGACCAGAGAAGAATCAAACCAAAACCCGAACGCAAGGGAGGGCGCCCACCCCGTTCACTATTCCCTGCATGTTTGAACCAGGTCGCTGCGGACATAAAGGTACAATCAGAGCACCAAAGCCAGACCAAGCAAGCCGCGTGTCCTATTAGCCTCAAACTGCAGAGCTCCTCATTTGCAAGACTCAGCCTTGGGCCTTGGGGCAAAACTTCTCGCAGGTCGGCAGTCTGCAGGAAGATTCTCGCCCAATTAGAAGCAGACTCGCCGTTTCGAAACCAAGGGCCCGATTAGGCCGGGAGGCCCATGTGGTCCGCTACAAGCCAATCCAAATCACCAATCACTAGCAGCCACACCATGTGCTCCGGGTCTTTGTGCGCGCTTTACGTACCGTCAAGGTCGGTACCCACTCATAGCGGCCGCAATTGTACCCGCGATGCTTGGTAAACTGCGAAGAAGGGCGCAAGACTTCCTCGATCAGTGTGGGTTAGGGATTGCCCCGTAAGCTGAAACCGTGTCGAACGCCACGGTACATCCTTCTCACCTCCATATACCAGGACGGCTTGGCAATTTCCAGTTGGGGTGCTCAGAGGGCACGGCACATGTACCGGGCCAAGGGCCACAAATGCCCGAAAGTCCGGCTGTGGCGACATACAGGCAAGCGAGTAAGGCCCAGGCAAGGTGGTTTGTCTGGAACTGGATTGGTTGTGACCGATCTTGGAGGAACACGGTGCTAGGAAAAGTGGAACTTAGGTTCTTCAGAAGTCTGGACCATCTTGTGCTGGTGAGAAGACTTTCACCAGAAGAAGTTGTGGGAAGACTGCAGGGTGCGATAGTGCCTCCTGCCCCAATCCCGATCAGGAAAGGTGAGAAGGCTCAGAATGTCCCAAGTGCAGGTGGCGGTCGTCCAGTCACGGTTCTCAGGAACCATCCCATGCAGGTGGGTCCCCGGAAAAGCAGGCAGTTGGCAGGTTCTTGCGCCGGCCCCGTTTGCAAGATCAAAAAGGAAGGGTTGCCGATCCAGACGAGATGCGGCGCCACGAGTTGCTTCTACCTGCAACGTGGGGAGGTTCCACAAGGATGGGCAAGCGGCGCTCTTCTGTGATGGAGCCATCCTGCAGTGCCATAGCTTGTGCACGGCGGTCTATGAAAAAGCAAGTCTTGACAGCCCTGCTGCTTCGAGCCATACCGAGCATCAACAAGCCAAATCAAGTGGGGTCAGAAGCTCAATGCACCAACACTTAATGTGCCTTGACATGTTCTTCAGGGTGCTTGCTGCTGCTTTGTGATGCCCAGCCAACCATGAAATCACACTTAGTTCTCCGGAGGGACGGCCTGTGGCCAAGCAACCTCCGAGCGAAGCGCCAGGCGGTCGTCTTCCTCGCGGTGATCAAGAATATCCGCCGCTACTCGCTCATCAAGAAGCGGCCATTCCAATCTAACCGGCTCTTCTTGCGGTACTGTCCCACCAGGGCTTCAAGCAAGAGTGACCAAGCTGGCAATAAGTGCTGTTCCAAATGTGCTCGAAGCAGGTAAGAGGGAAAATCGTCCGCTGGAGATCCGGCGGCTGCCCTAGTCCATGCCCGGCCGCCTGGCGCACGATACATTGCAAGTAAGGCACTAAACTCTTTGGCACAGCGCTGCGAATTTGAAGGTTCAGCCAGCCACGTCCAATCTGTGTCCAGCTCAGGACCAGCTGAAGTGTGTAAAGAATTTTTCAGCACGGGGGACAGTCTCTGCGCTGGGCCTCCTGAAGCCCGGCTGAGCTGGGGAGTCCTGCCGCTCCGTGCACCAGCATGACAGACCCCGTTGCCGCGCCGTTGCCTCTGCTCCTTGTGACTCACTCTTACCAGCACTTTAGCGACGTCTCAGGGCAGCTCTGTTTGCCTTCCGCTTGGTATGAGAGTCCGGACATCCTCGCTCCCTGGGAGAGATCCAGGCCTTTGTTCTGCAACTCTGCCACTGTGCACGGCTTGCAGAATGGCAGCGGCCAGCCTCCAGCACCCTTCCATTGCCCCATGCAGGTACGGGAGCGGCCAGGACCCAAGAATTCCCAATCGTTGGAAGCGTTCAGAGCATATGTGGGTGACCTAGCTTGGCTAGAGGCGAGACAGCAGGGTTGGGGTACCACGGCGATTCCCCGACCTGAGCATGGCCCTTTGGAAAACTTGAGATGTCATGTTTTCTCCATCAAGCTTTCTGGTCCAAGCGATTTGTGGAAGGGTTGCCCTAGGCCGAACTTTCATGGATCCTGGGCTCAGGGAGGCCCTGCTTCCAACCCCAGCAGCGGCCCCCATCTTCTGCCACCACAACCGTCCCGCTTCTTTTTCATGGGACAGGCTGGTTAATTCGGTAGCTACGTGGTGGAACGACAAAGACCGAGCACTGAACAATGACAAGTTCCAACGACAGGTCCAGGTAGAAGGAGAAGGCCGCGCGTACGAGCTGTAGCACCAGCAGAAGTTCAGTTGGCAGCCAAAGCAAATGTCCGCTTCCGGCGTCATGTTGGCAACACTTGAAACGCGCGCTTTTGTGCTCTGTGATAAGCAAGGTTTCGTGCCTGATATCACCTTTAGAGTGCAGAAGTTTTTTCCGCCTGGAGCAAGAGTCTACCTCCGCTTCAAAATGCGAGGGCATCCGAGCTCTCTTTCGGAAACTCTTTTCCGTTGGGCCTTGCCGTCCCCCGTGTGACCCAGTTTATCGGTGCTATTCGGCGGTATCCAGTACTTCAGTACAGACTTGTGGTGTAACTACCTGGACTGTGGTGCTGGCTCTAGCCCTGCTAACCCCTTTTGGCTGGAGGGTGAAATTACTCCCCCGCTGACTTTTGCCCAGGTGCAAATGCTGCACCCACCCCTTTCCTCGCAAACCTGATGCAATGGCCACCTCGTCCTCGTCGGACAGGGCCCCTCTAGGAAGTCGGACAGAAGAGAGCACTCTTGAACCTTTCGGGCTCAAGGAGTGACTTGCTCTTTGAGTTTACTCTGCACCCCTTCTTGTTAGTGGGGCTGCCCGAAAAAAGCAAATTTGTACGGCGCTGGCACGCAACTGTAAAGATAGACACGTGGGTGTGGGATCCCACGCAGGCCAGTGGCCGTGATGCGGTGCCCTAGCATGGGGCCAGGTCTTCCAGATTCCGCTCGGAAAAACCTGCTCATCGGGGGCCGAGGGATCTTGAAACCTCAGGATCGGGAGCTCCATTGAGGACTGTGTTCTGAGGTAGAAAACCTTATAAGTACTTATGGAGGTGGCCGCAATGCGCGCTCTGGCATGGAGAGAGACTGGCAGTGCAACGAAGCAGCGATTAGCTGCCTCTTGAGTCAAGACGGCCAGCTGCCGTTGTTCGCGCAGGAGAGGGTTGACGAGGAGCACACTTTGGTCGCCAACGACTCTTTTTAGTTTGTTGGCGAGGTCGACGGAAAGAGCCATTGCGCCTCTAAACAGAGCAAGCTTTTGTTGTCAATGCTGCCGGGCGAGGCTTATTGTCTCGACTCTTGGAATGGATGGTGGTTTTGCTTTTGGCACTATGTTTCATTTTGCAGACTGCATTTTGCAGTTCTCCTTCCGCACTGCACGATCCCAAAGCTGACAGTCTGCTTCGACTTCCTCGTGTGCTAAGAAAAGGGAACGTTTCACCTCAGATTGGGCTTGGTGTTGCTTTTTGTTGCTTTCTGTTGCTTTGGTGTCCGTTCTTGGTTTTGCTCTGTTAAGTCGATAGTTTGTTTTACCTTGTCGCAATAGACCCACTGTGCTACTGATGTGGGAAGGCGTCCGCTTCAAAAAATTCTGTTGTGCATTGTGGGGCAGGCGGCCTCCCGCTGTGCGGTTCAAAGTTCAAAGGGCTGCTTTCGGGCTGTTCACACTTTGCCCAAAGTTTTTTGACTTTGAGGCGCCGTGTAGTCTGAAGAAGGGCATTGCAGTGCCCACTGCGACTGAAGCTGCTCTGCGATTGCGGCTTTTGCAATTTGCGCACTGACAAAGATGCAACAAATGGTAGCTCTGTGTGCTCAGCTCGGACTGCGGGTCCATTTCAGTGCCGGCAAATGCTGTGATGGCTTACGGCGTGCGATTGCACTGCATATGTTCCATCCATGGAAACCTCTAGACTCTAGAGCTTTAATGCCACGCCTTTCTGGTCAGAGAAGTTTCTTTTCCTAGGCAGCTTAGGCTTCTTAAGTTGTGCTTGGCGGTGCTTGTTCCTTTTCCTTCTTAGGCGAGTGCTTCCCCCCTTCGCAGGGTATCTTCACTCATGATGGCCAGCCGCGTGCGTTCCATGGGCGACGCCGAGAAAGCCCTTGACTACTTGGCGGACACGGACGCGGACCAGGTGACGAGATGCGCGGCTGCAATGCCGCGGGGGGCCAGGCAGAAGCTCTTGCGTTGCGTCCTGAGCTGGGAATCTGCGTGCAAGGATCGGGCGAGCCGTCCTCCACGCAGCCTTGGGGGCAAGGGGAGCAGAGATCTCCTCCACTCTGCCTTCTACATCTACTGATTCAGAAAACACAAGAGGTTTCAGATGTCGGAGAGTGTGCCGATGCCACTGACGCAGTTGGGCCTTTGACGCCGCTCGTTGTCCCTCCTGTCATCCCTGCTTCGCAGAGCAACCCAGCAGGTCCTGATGAGGCTGCGATCCAGACTCTTCCGACAGCAGCAGCAAGCTGAGCAGTGACGATAAGCCAGAGCAGGAGGGAAAGCCTGATGCAACAGCAGGTGCCGCCGAGCCCAGTGAAAGCATGTCTGACTATGTTCCTTCACCTGTTGAGTCCGAGCCTCGTGGCGTGAAGCACGGTTTGGATGAAGGTGATGGCGGGGCTGGCGGGGCATCCGCGACCGCGGCGTCCGCAGCAATGGCTCCTGATGATGAGCGACCCGCCAAGTTGCCCAGAGAAGAGCCTCACAAATCGTCTCGGATCAATGCAGTGCAAGCGGGGCCGCGCAACGATGAAGATGTGCGTCCGTGCCTTGAAGAAGCTGAGATTGATGACCTTGAATGGTATGATGAGACGCTTTACGATAGCCAACACAAGCAGATTGGCGGGCTGCGCAGAAACTTGCATCGTACTTACGTCGTGGTACTGAAGGCTATGCCATCCATCTTGTTCCACAGCACGTGGGTGCATCTGTTTTGCATCGTGGCTATGGCAACGATGAGTGTCAAGGCCACTTGCTTGAAGCTTTCAGTGATGCTGACTGGAGCGGTAGTCAGTTCAGCCGCCGGTCAATGAGTGGAGCTGTGTTCTATCTTGATGGAGCGGCAATCTTCAGCACATGCAGGGGACAGAAGGTTGTCAGTTTGTCGTCTTGTGAATCAGAATGGTATGCTGCGGTATCTGCCAGTTGCGATTTGCTTTTCATCAAGCAATGCCTCGAAGCCATACTTCCCGATCCAATCCAGGCCGTGGTGCGTTTGGACAACTCCGCAGCACGCCAATTGGCCCATCGTCAGGGCCCTTCCAATAGGACCCGTCACATCGATGCTAGGCTGTTTTGGGTGCAAGAACGTGTTCAATCAAAAGAGCTGTTGTACCGGCCCGTCTCAGGCTTGTGCAACCCATCCGACATATCCACCAAAGTTCTGTCGGAGAAGCGCTTGAAAGGACTGCTAGGTGCCCAGAACGTCGTTGACATGAGCAAGAGCATGGAATCTGTGGGCGAACATGAGTGGCATGAGATTCTTGATGAAGTTGCTACGAATGTGCACTTGAGGAAAGTGAGCAAGCAGTTCCGATCGAAATGTGTCAAGAGCAAGGCCTTCGTTCGCATTGCCGTGATGTCCCTGATGCTCGCAGGGTGTGATGCAGCGGAGGAAAGCAGTTCACCATGGATCGTGGTCACTGATCATTCGAACATGTGGAAATGGTACATGCTCGTGGCATTTTGCCTGGGAATGATTGCAGTGTGTTTCCAAACTACGAGCCTTGAGCTGTGATATCGAAATGAAGCAAAGAACAAGTATCAGAAGGCCGAGATCGATTGGCCCTGGTTTTCAGCCATGGATGGTTTGAGCGCAAGGATGTGGTAGACGTTCAGTGCTCTGTGCATTTTCTTGGCTGGGACATGTGCGTGTATAGTGCGCCATGCAATGCATCGTGGCGATGATCGTGTTTCAAGGCTAGCTGAGCGTGATTTCAAAGAACGCCTTATGCTTGAGCAGTACAGTTTGAAGGAAGCAGTGCATCATAAGGAGAAGCTGCTTGAATCCTACTATGCGCGAGAGCAAGATTTGGTCCGCCGTTTGAAGGAGGCTGAGGCCAAGCTTGAGCATCTCACAGCGCAGCTGATGGACAGGCCGGCTGTGCGTGTGGTGCCTACGACAGTTTGCACAACGATCTCTGGAAAGTGTTTTCACCACGAGATGTGTCCACAGGTGCGTGGCCATACTGTGAAGCATTATGGGCCATGCAGTGTTTGCAGTGAGCGATTCACGTGATGTGAACAGATGAGTGAGGCCTCTTACGTGCTACCAAGTTTTACGGTGCACAAGGCCATGTGAGTAGCTGAGACTTGTATAGCATGTAGCTACCGTAGACTGCTGTCATGTAGTGTCCGAACATGTTGAAACGAGTACGCCATTGCTGAGCCAAAGGCTACTCGGGCGGGGTGTTCAACTGTGTCACATGTAGCATGCCCCGTTTTCACATGACAGTTTTTGGTCTCGTTTTCACGTAGTTTGAGCAACGACTCTTTGCATTCATGAGGCTCAGATTTGGAGTGGAAAAGTGAGTTTTCTGTTCAGTCTTTCAGGGCGCATTGTCGCCGCCAGTTTCCAGCTGGGGAGGACTTGCAGATCTTTTCTGTTCGTGTGCGTACAGATCTGCCGGCAGTGACAAAAAAGGGAAAGCGCGTCTGGCGCGTCTTCTTCAATACATGTTACATACCTGAACGGTATATGTGCTTGTGCGTGTCTGTTTAGGTGTATTGTAACTGCATGATACCTTGTAGCGTGCAGGCTCACAGCGATCGCTCCCAGGAGCTGTGTGCGAGACAAGTTTTGTGCTCGCCCACCCTCCCTATGTGGTTGCGATTGGGCATTAGGCTTCATTTCCTCTGTGGAGACTGATAAGTTTCTTTGTTTGGCATTCCCCCCTTGCAGATCTTTTCTGTTCGTCTGCGTACAGATCTGCATTTCTCCGGCAGTGACAAAAAAGGGAAAGCACGTCTGGCGCGTCTTAATGCATTTTGGCTGAAATGCTGCTTCAATACATACCTGAACGGACACGATCGCCGTCTAGCCATGCCTCTTAGTGCCTGAATAGCCCGCGCCCCTATTGCTTATGCCGATGCCAATGCTGCCTGCCTATAGAGATGTCATGCCTCAGTTTTTTTCAGGAACCATCATTTACTTCCCAGCTTGTTAGGAGGAGGAAAACATCCACGAATTGGTGTCCATGATGTGTGGTGACATGTGTGATTGGCCTTGTGATCGTCGAAGTTCACAAAGGCGGAAACGTGCAGTGTGCAGCCATGGACAATCATGGGAGTGTAGGTAAGTTGATGTTATAGTCAGAGCTGTTGCCTCGTACAAAAGATTTTGGTTTATATTTATATTTTACAATAGTGATTGTTCAGATAGGAACTGAAAAAAGATAATTTCTAATTATTTGGGAGATCTAAGGACCGCTATTGGACGGCGGGCTGCTTCGGCCGCTCTGAGCACTCGTTCACTCACTCGTACGTTTCGTCCGCTCGTGCGCCCCCACGTCCACTCGTACGTTTCCACCCGCCCACTCGTACACCCCCACACTCGTATGGTCGTATGGCCGATGAGTCCACTCGTGTCGTCCACAAATTGTCGCTATCCTGCGTTCCCACTCGTTCACGCCGTCTACTCGTTTCTGCCCGCCCACTCGTGCACCTCCACTCGGCCACCGCCCATCTACTCACGGACCCCCGCCCGTGCGTGTTTTTCTGTGCAGTTGTTGACAGGCCCCTGGATGTAGATAACCTATAGTATTTTTTTTGGGTTTAGAAGTATTCGTGGAATTTAAAAAGGTCATAACTCAGCATAAATATAAAGAAAGCCCTTGTCGAAACATTCAATGATTGAATTATTGAACTCCTTTTGTTGCAGCCCTCAGTAATATTAAGTGTATTTATTTATGTAAAATGATGAAATTATTGAATTCTTTTCATGCACTTTACTCATTTAGCAATTGAAAAGATCTCCCTTTCCGAAATACGAAATCATTAGATTACTAAATTCTTTCTTCCGCAGCCTTCAGGCCCACATCTGGAAACAATTTCATATTAAGTTCATTAGCATATTTTACGATGTTCAATGTTTGGATTCCTTTCGTGGAATTTATTACTTTATTCTTACAAATATATTCATTGCATAAAGAAATCCCATTTAAAAGTTTTGAGTTATTAAATGATTAAATTCCACGAAAAGGAATTCAGTAGTTAAAAATATCAAAAATTTCATAAATTTCATCCGAAATTGATTCCAGATCTGGGCCTGAAGTCTGCGGCAGAATGAATTCAATGATTTATTTATTGAATACTTCAATATTTCGATGGGCTTTCTTTCAATTCTTAAGTTATTCAGTTTCATGAAAGAAACTTAATATGTGAATAACAAAGATATTAAGACATGTAGTAAATATATGTATTATTTCATCTTTCTTGATCTTGGCCTGAGGGCTGCAGCAGAAGGAATGTCACAATTTCAGAATTTTTTTATTTCGACAAGGACGTTCTTTTAATGTCTAATTTCGCTTAATTCCATGATGTTTTTACAATTTTTCATTTAAAATACTTTATAAAATACTTTAATTGATTTAGTAGTCAATTGTTTTCAGATCTGTGCCTGAGGGCTGCAGAAAGAATTTAATAATTCAGGAATTTAATATTTCGGCAAGGCCATTCTTGCAAATAGTAAATCATTAAGTCTCACGCCTGTTTTCATTCAATGCTACGGCATCGCGTGTAAGTATTTTTCAATTTGCAGATTCCGCCAAATGGATGGGGGGTGGGGTGGTATTCACATTCCTGCCAATGCTTCCTGGTCGTTGCGTTTTTTGCGGCTTCAACGGAGAGCCATGAAGGTTCAGGGTTTCGGCTTTAAGGTGCACCGAAGCAGGCTATGGTGCACGAAGTTCAACCCACCGTCCTTACGCCCTAAAACCTAAACCCCACACCCTATTCGTGATTTTTTTGTGTCCACACGTTGCTGGTAAGGCTCCTTTTCTTTGCTGTCGTCGTTGCCCGTGGGGTTCAGGGAGGACAGCATGGATGGTTGCTACCCTGTTCTCGCGCTCACCACCTGTTTAACTTTGCTGGACGGCGCTTGCCAGCAACACTGGCGCATGTGCAGACATTCGCCGTAGAAACGATGTAGGATGTTGGGTGCCGAACCCTAAGCCGTAAAATCACAGGGAACCACTTCCAAACCCTACTTTCCGCGTCGCGAGTAGTTTTGCAAAAGTTGATCTTTCGGGGTGCTGTCAACATGACGCAACACCCCAATGTCAGGCGGTTTCTGTTTGCAAACCCGACCAGGTGCCCCCCCAGCGCGTTAGACGAGTAGTAGTAGGACGGCCCCCCCCCCCCGCCAACTGGCCCAACAACAGCATGCCCCGTGGCTGGCAATTTTGCAATTTTATTGGGCGGTTTTGCGATTTTGGATACCTTCCTGCAAGGGGTAGCTCAGGCTGGAATGATTTGGGGGTTTTTCTCACAAGCGATGTAGTAAGGACTCCGCCTGTCCGGCTAAGATTCCAAGCTCCAACTTCTTATGCTGCAGGCCTCAAGCACAAATGATGTTCTCAGCAGCAGATTGCGCGGTTCTTGAACCTTGAAACCCTAAGCACTACTCCACCTGTTCATTTTCCCAGGCTTCCGAAAAAAATCAGTCAATATGGGAGGTTTTATGGCACAGGTTTGCTCTTGCTCCATTTGGGCCTACTTAGAAGTAATGCTGGACAGGGTTTCCGAGTCAAGAAGTTCTTAAAAAGGGGGGGGGTTATTAATTATTCACGTGTAGACAGATAGTCATGTCCCTGGAGCTGTTGAATTCGGATACAAAGCCGCTCAAACGACTCGGTGCAGCGGTCATGGTATGAGAAACTTTCTGATGGAGGTGATCCTATCTGGCAACGCCGCTTTTGGCGTGTGGCTCGCGCGTGCCTTTTTGGTTGTCTGACGGGCGAGCATCGGGCAGTGAGTCTTTCTTGAAGTCACAGTGGTTTTCCAAAAAAAACTCATTGCGTTGTTTCATGAGACCGTGCGCTGCGTTCGGAAGACAATACATCTCCAGGTCGCTCCCAACTTTGAATCCACGTAGCTGCAATTATTTGTGAATGTATTGGGCATGGAAAATTCGATCCGTTCCTGAAAAGACAGCAAGACGTGCTTGCGGTTACAGACATGGTGCTCATGTCAAACACGATGAGAATGTGTGTGCAATTTGATGTTTTGAATTGTTCGAAGGTGACTCCCTTTCGAGGCCAGGAGCTTTCAGCACGGTCCAAGTTGCCAAACTCAGGAAGATTACTGCCCATAAACGGCACCTCGATGGCTTGATGGCAGCTAGTTCGTGAAACCAACACCCGATAATCTTTGAATTCGTGTACAACAGGGCACCCAGAGCTATCGAGCATGTCCAAAATCGGATCCTTTGATGTTTTCACCATAACGTCTCGAAGTGTCGAGGCTACGGGATGATGCTATGAAATCGGACGTGGCGATGGAATCGTCACTCCAGTCTTCTGGCTTTCCCCTCGTTTGGCAGCCACGCCGTTGAGCTAACATTTTTCGATATGGACAGATCTGCGACCGGCGAGCGGACCTCTTTTGCAAGATGCGAGCACTGGCAAAGCCGCAGCCCACTGGAGCATACTGGAGCTTTCATTTAAGTACTGCCAATTGTTCAGGCAAGAAGATTAGCTGGAAAAATCTAACCAAGCACTTCAAGTCCTTCCGATGCCGCCTCGTCGTCCGACGGCCACTGGAGTTTCAAAGCGTCCTCGCCCGACAACTGGTTGCCTCCCCCAGTAAATGGCTGCAGTGCCAGCATGCCGATGCTAGTAGTGCACGCTTCAACAAAACATGTCACTGATGGCCCACGTTGACCAACGAGCGTCCCAGATGGGGCCGGACCGGGCGATGCATATTGGTTGGCGACGGTGGGTGTTTGGGTTGGCGCCGCGGCTTTGGGCGCTGCCAGCAGTAGGTCGCCCAGCAATGTTTCCAGCAACCCTGCCAGCGGCAGCCCTGCTGCCTCCGCTGCTGTAGCTAGCTCGTTTGCGCCTTCCAGCGTCACGCAGCGCAAAAGCTCTGAGGCGGCCCCTGCGCGAGCGCGCCCCGTCGCTGCAGGAGACGCAGGTGACGGCCACGTGCAGGTCGCGAGTCGCTCAACGCCCTAGCTGGCCAAAGCCCCGAAGAGCAGGCAACCCTGGCGTGAAGTAAGCCGGCGCTCCACCCCCGCAGGTCAAGAGGGCGTGCACCACACTCTGGCGGCAACTCGGCGGGAGTGACGAGGCCAAAGTCATGGCCGAGGAGATCCGAGGAGGCTGCCGACCAGCCATGCCAGCAAGCCCAGCCTGCCCAAAAACAACCATCCTTCCAAGTTGGAGTTTCGCTACCGCTGTCGCAGGGAGGCCCACATGCCAGCCGCTGCAACTTGTGTCATGCCGACACATGCGGATGTTACCATTCCCAGTGACCTCGAGCATGCCCTACCACCGCCGGACCAGGCCGACGAGGCGCTTGCCCTGACGGCGGGCGGCAGGACGCGCACATGTGGAGGAGCAACGACGTGCACTGGAGGTCCGGCAGCTGCGGCAGGTGGTCGAGCAGTTGCCGTTCCGTGCACATGCGTTCGTTTGCCCATGAGCGGATGAAATCTGGATGGCCAATGGGCGAGCCCAGAACGACCACGCCTCGTTCGGTAGTGGGGTTATAAGGCCCGCAAGACATCGTCGCCGAGTTCGGCAATGCCCGGCGGCGGCGGTCCTGGAACGGAGGCCATGGCGCGGGTCTTGCCGAGATTGGACGCTATGCCGCAGTGCGTCGCTACCTCCTCAACGGTCGTGTCGAGCGCTGTGCGGGCACGGCCTGGGTTGGTCACGACGTACGAGTCATCCAAGAAGGCAACGAGGTTGTCGTGAGCGTGCAGGGCCTCGTCCGCATGGGCGAGCGCATCGTGCTGTCTAACTCGCAATTGTGGAGCACAGCCTGCCACTCTGCCGTTGTGAAAAGAGGATTTGATGAGGCGGTCGAGTCATGACAGGACGAACGGCGTGCACGAATGCCGCATGACGTGACAGGGCCACCGCCCGCAGCACCCAGCTCGCCTCTTTTCCGTGTCGGCTGCGCGCGCCGGCGCCCGGAGACGGCCCGTCACTCGAGGAAGCGAAGCTACGGGGAACCTCCCAGCTGGCCCCCCAACGAAACCATACCCCTTCCGCGACCACGGCGTTTGATCTGAGGCAATTCAAGCACTATGCAACAAAATAACCTGGGGCTCAACCCGCATCCGGCCGAACAGTCTTCTTCTTGTTGCCTGAAAAAAAAATCATATGTCGGCATGCATTGGATGCGTTTTGCGCAGGCACGCGGTTCAAGATTCATGGCTGTGTTTTCGACATGGTGACGTTGGCTTGTTTCTCCGACAGGCTCATGTTCCGTTGGACTGTCGGAGCCTCTTGGCATCTGTTGGCGGTCGCTAAATTGAGATGCTTGTTGTGGTTGGACGGGGTTCCAACATGTAGAGTCAGCTGAGTGAGGTAAATGTTGCTACACAAATGGACCTTCTTCTTCTCTTTCCCTTTCCCCTTCCCTTTCCCTTGTTTTTCTCCTCCTCTCCTCCCTCTCCTCCCTCTCCTCCCTCTCCTCCCTCTCCTCCCTCTCCTCCCTCTCCTCCCTCTCCTCCCTCTCCTCCCTCCCCTCCCTCCCCTCCCTCCCCTCCCTCCCTCCCGCCCCTCCTCCCCTCCCCCCCCTCCCTCCCCTCCCTCCCCTCCCCCTCCCCTCCCCTCCCTCCCTCCCCTCCCTCCCCTCCCTCCCCTCCCTCCCCTCCCTCCCTCCCTCCCCTCCCTCCCCTCCCTCCCCTCCCCCCTCCCCTCCCTCCCCTCCCTCCCCCTCCCTCCCTCCCTCCCTCCTCCCTCCCCTCCCTCCCTCCCTCCCCTCCCTCCCCCTCCTCCCTCCCTCCCTCCCGCCCCTCCCTCCCCTCCTCCCCTCCCTCCCCTCCCTCCCCTCCCGCCCCTCCCTCTCCCTCCCTCCCTCCCCTCCCTCCCTCCCTCCCCGCCCTCCCCCCTCCCTCCCTCCCTCCCCTCTCCCTCCCCTCCCTCCCCTCCCTCCCCCCTCCCCTCCCTCCCCCTCCTCCCCTCCTCCCCTCCCTCCCCTCCCTCCCCTCCCTCCCCCCTCCCCTCCTCCCTCCCTCCCCTCCCTCCCCCCTCCCCTCCCCTCCCCTCCCTCCCCTCTCCCTCCCCTCCCTCCCCTCCCCCCCTCCCTCCCCGCCCTCCCCTCCCTCCCCTCCCCTCCCCCTCCCTCCCCTCCCTCCCCTCCCTCCCCTCCCTCCCCCTCCCCTCCCCTCCCTCCCCTCCCTCCCCTCCCCCCTCCCTCCCCTCCCTCCCCCCCCCGCCCCTCCCTCCCCTCCCTCCCCTCCCTCCCTCCCTCCCCCCCTCCCTCCCCTCCCTCTCCTCCCTCTCCTCCCTCTCCTCCCTCTCCTCCCTCTCCTCCCTCTCCTCCCTCTCCTCCCTCTCCTCCCTCTCCTCCCTCTCCTCCCTCTCCTCCCTCTCCTCCCTCTCCTCCCTCTCCTCCCTCTCCTCCCTCTCCTCCCTCCCCTCCCTCTCCTCCCTCTCCTCCCTCTCCTCCCTCTCCTCCCTCTCCTCCCTCTCCTCCCTCTCCTCCCTCTCCTCCCTCTCCTCCCTCTCCTCCCTCTCCTCCCTCTCCTCCCTCTCCTCCCTCTCCTCCCTCTCCTCCCTCTCCTCCCTCTCCTCCCCCTCCTCCCTCTCCTCCCTCTCCTCCCTCTCCTCCCTCTCCTCCCTCTCCTCCCTCTCCTCCCTCTCCTCCCTCTCCTCCCTCTCCTCCCTCTCCTCCCTCTCTCCCTCTCTCCCTCTCTCACTCTCCATGTTCGCCTCTCTCATTGCTTGGGTCTACGTTGGCATGACTTACCAAGATGAATTTCATAGGCAAGTACCTCTACAAATACATATCCCGCATATGCATTGTGTTGCATACCGTCATCCCATACACCGCCAAAACATCAAAAAATGCAGGTCGCAACTGTGTGGTTGGCGGAAATTGTCCCGTGCTATGCAAGCTTATTGACGGTGATCTCTGGGCTGCTTGCTTTTGAAAGAGTCGACAGGTAGAGTGTTGAGGGAGGAATGGTTTCAAGGCGTGGGTGGGGTTCAGGCAGTCGCGGACGTCCGCAGCTTTATCAAGTTCACTAGCATGTGGTCTTGGTTTTCTGACGGGATTTTGGGAGAAGGGAAGGATGTATGTAAGGGGAGCGGTTGGACTCAGCTGTTTGGCGGCCAAATATTGCCAGTAATATCATTGTAATTGCTAGGAGTTTGAAAAATACTGGACAAGACATGCGGAATGCGCTGCAATCTGCAATTTATAGAATAGAAACGCAGCAATTTGCACAGTTTTTGCACCGCCAATGCAGCTCTACATCCTGTAATTCATAATGCGAGCAACCCATTGACAGCAATATTTGAAGTTGGCGCGAGATACACTATACATAGTGTGATTGGCTGTTATTGAGCACCATTTCTGAAAGTTCCCAGGAGTTGAACATGTGGAAACACTGCAGGTTATGTACGGTTTTCAATTAAAGTACTGCAAGCACCCAATCCCAGACTCTGAGAAAAACATGTTGCGAGTGAGGCCCTGCGTATCGTACAACGTCGTACAGCGTGATGGCTCCGGGTCTGGTGGCGGTGATGGTGATGGAAATTATGGTTATGGTGATGGTGACGGCGATGGCTATGGTTATGGAGGCAACTACTCCTACGGGACTTATGGCTACGGCCCGTTCCTTTACGGCTTTTATGGTTTCTATGGCTCCTATGGCTCCTATGGCTCCTATGGTTATAGTTCTGGCGATGATTCGGGAGAATGTGGAGGGGGTCTTTGCTGCGTTGGCAATCAGCCGGAACGCCATCCCCCCTACTCGACCAATGAGGCATTTGGGGAATGCATCGTGGAGTTGTAACTGGAAGAAATCATCTAGACAGCGGATTCAGTCCAGTGCAGACTTGGCTCCCATGCAGAAACACCTGTTTTGCCTCACTTGCCACTGCCCTGACAGGAATGTGTGATCAGCGTGGCCAGTGGCAACACCAGGTGTTTTGTTTAGATAAGGACGCACAGCAGTTAGGCACCACAGCATGAACACATTGCCCGGGAATGATCGGGAATGGTTTGCTTCCGATGTCGACGCTTGTTTTGTCCACAAGTCGGATTGTCTGAGGTTCATCAAAATGATGGATTTTGAAACGGATGTTGGTGACGTTCTCATTGTCAACGGTGTCAACTACAGTGGCTACAATGGTCCATCAGGCGTCATCCCCACAGGCGAGATTATTTGGTCAACTGCCACTCGGATGCCATGGCGAGCGGGCAGCCGTGCTCATGTCCACGAGAAATACGAAGATGGACGTGTCCAAGCCGCTGCTGTGGCCTGGGCCATGTTGGGCTTGCTAAGGATGACGTGCAAGGCCCTCCTCTGCGGGGATTCGCTTTTTGCCTCGATGCACAGGTGGGACCCTTTTCTTGTTGTTCGGATGCAGTTCTTGACCTTCTTGTTCGGTGCTGCAGGAACCCCCCGTCGCTGAGGCACGGGATTGCATTTTGTCAACCTGGAATGTAAAGGGACAGGGTTCTACATGTGTGCTATATGTCCACACTACCACGTTCAACAGCTGCTGCCGACTTGGGTGAGTGTGGGGGGTTTGGCAGGCAGGCTTTGCCATCCAGAGCAAGTGCACACCAGTGTGTCTTTTTCACTTCTTGCACCTGCTGGGTGAGCATCAAACCTGTAAAGCAGTCGTGGCCTTTTGGATTGCTCGGGCGGCAAGATTCGGCAAGATTCAAGCAGCAATTGCGGTCTCGAACGATGTGCAGCATGTTTAGGGTTCAGAGCACCAGAAGACACACCATGGAGTGGCATAACATGGCAAGGCACGGCAAAGCATGGCCAAGCATGGTGTAGCATGGCATAGCCACCTCATCTCCGGAGCAGTTCCAGAGCCCAACTGCTTGTGAGGGCATTAACTATACGGAAGACCGGCGCTCACATGCGGTTCATGAAGGACAAAACACCAGCACAGTGTTGACATGTGTTGACCCCCTCGCCTTTCCTTGGGCTTCTCTAAACCTGACCTGGCTGGTGCGTTGATGTTTAGTGCGCTTCTTTGCCTCCCATGTTCGCAGCCTCCTTCCATCCTTGTTTACTCTTCTTTATCTCGTTGCAAAGGGACAGAAATGCATTCGGATCACAAGCTTCTGAAGTCTGTTCATGCCTGGGGCCGTGTGGTCTAGTTACTGTCGACGTGCATGGGAGCTCATGGGAGGCCAACTCGACATTCGCCTGGAAGGTCCTCAGCGGGTGGTTGCCTTACGTAGTGCTGATGAAAATGGAGATGCGAGTTCTTGTGGAGGGTGACCATGCAATCGGAGCCGAAATGGGAACTTGTGACAAAAAGCTATCGCTTGTCCAGCAGATTTGCGTGGGGAGCCATTCTTGTGGGACATGTTGTCGTAAACACAGCCTGCGGAACCAGTTGGCGTCGGGCAGGGCAGCGAAACAGGCCTCAGAGACCGGAGTTTTTTTTTTTTTTTTTTTCTCCTCGCTCCTTTTTGCTGCTGCATGAGGGTTCGCGGTCCCTGTGCACCCTATGGTTCGGGAGGGGCGGGGCGGGGAGGACGGAGGTCCAGGGCCCGTCAGGTGCGGAGAGGCAAGCGGCTCGGGACTGGTGGGGGTGGGGCTGCTTCAGAGGTGGCAGCGCCCAGGAGGTCGCTCAACTCCAAGGCTTACCCATCAACATTGGCCGCGTTGGCGAGGGGCAGCGAGAGAAGACTCGCGGCCAGTGCCCGCGCGGCTGCAAAGGAGAGGAGGGCTGACCAGCGGGCGACGTAAGCGGCCCTGGCGCTGGATCGCAGCAGGGGAGGGGTTGCGCGGGAGCGGCTACGAGCGAGGAGTCGGATGAACTGGGCTGCCTCCTCGCTCCATCGCCCTCCGAGCTCAATCCCGACCACAACCAGCCGGCACCGGAGCTTCCACCGGCTCCAAGGAACCTTCAAAATTAGCGAAAAGAAGAGGCGACAATCCGAGGCCCAGGCGAAGTATACCTTACAAGTTCTCCGACAAATGGTAAGCATCGCGTCCAGGCGTGGCAAACTCGCCAATCCGCAAGGATGATTGTCCATATGCTGCTAACTTGTCTGTATAAACTGCAGCTGCGCAGTTATTGCGAGCTCTGTCTGGCCATATGTTTGACCAAGGAGGTGCGCAGTGGATACGGATGGCTGCATCACGAGTCCGAACTTCCCTGATCGCTATGACCAACACGGGTGCACAATCGGCGTGGACGTGAACAATACAAAGCGTCTCAGTGTGTCGAACTTTGAGACAGAGACTGGTTATGACTTCTTGGAGATCAATGGCCGCCCGTACTCCGGAACCTACACATCCGCAGATGTCTTGGATCCGCCGCAAGGTCTCATCAGATGGGTTGCGGATTTTCAGCTGCACGATAATAGCATGCAACAATAGCGAAAGCAATGCTTTTAATCAAGTCTAATCATCAATCAAACCATGGTCTGCAGCGTGCCCCAGCTGTCGCGTTTCCTGATGGTTTGCACGTCGTAGCTTTCCGCCCACAGAGGCAGTCTGTTGACAGGCACCCGAGCGTCGGTATGATTCACGAAGCATATTGTTTCTTCCATGCCTGTTCCTACAAGGACACGAACTTTGCGCAGCAGGGATGGAGGCTTTGCCTGACGGATGAGGCCGCCGCACCGAAGGATTTGCTTTCTTTCCGCCCTGAAACGCCGCCAGCTTGTAGAGCAGCAGGCTGGTTCAGGACTGCTTGGCAAAGCAGGGCTCCAGCGTTTTCTTGAGTTTATGCAGGTCCACAGGGCTTTGGGGATCCTGATCTCGATAAAATGTCATTGAATGCCACTTGCTGACTGAGCAAGCTGAGTAATCGCCATGTGCGAGTCGTCACTGCTTAACGCCTTCACTCCCAATGTGTGGCCGGTTTCTCGTTGTTCCAAACAATTCTTGCATGCCAGGCTTCATGCCGGTACCGTAGTCTTGTTGATGCATCTTGTCCCGGCAGCAGGTCAGCAACCAGACGACCTGGCGGAGCCAGGACTTTCCGGAGCAGAAGGTGCTTCCTAAGAAGAACTCTACCTTGAAACAGGGTTATATACAGGTGTAGATACCATGTCAAATATACCTATGGCTTAGGGGCTGGGGCCGCTGGGCTCTTTGCATCAGGTGGCCTGGTCGGTTCTGTTCTAGAACTGGTCATTCATTGGGTTGCGGTGCTTCTTTTCGAAAACCAGTTCGGTACAAGTAATAAGGATTTGAATGACTAAGGTGCCCTGCCCGTAGTGATGGCCAGGATGGAAAAATAACATGAAAGGACAGGCTGTGCAGCCTCCCTGAGCTTGTTTCCCTGCGCCTCACGGCCAGCCGCGGAAACCCTCCCAACCGCCCCACCGAACCCACGACACTGGCACTTGAGGGCTTCCCTGGCCAAGACGGTCCCGCCAAACAAAAAAAAAGTTGCCCCCAAGGGGACCAAAAGGCGAACGGCTTGAGGCTCTGCCGTCCTGTCGCGAAAGGATGGCATGGAGTAGGCTGAAATAATATTCAGAAGTCGACATCCCTTGCCAACCTGGAACTAAGAACTGCGAACATGTCACTTCACAGGGCACCCTTGAGATCTAGGGCATGCCGCCGTCGTCCCTGGAAAGGGAGCGCCACCAGAGGTTCCAAAAATGTTCCAAACTCCCTATCCTCATTTCCCCAGCTTGAACTCTTCCAGAGCTGTCCTATCTGAACACGGGCCCCTAGTTTTACTGCAAAGGTCGTTATGGTATGTTATGGTGGTCCTAAACCCCTCCGCCCCGGACAGGCCCGAGCCTTCGCTTCGGCTGTTTGGGATGCCGAAAAGCAGCTCTTGCTGGTCTATGGAGGAGCCATGGGAAGAATCAGTTTGATAGAGGGTGTGACACTTGGCTACAAGGCCGCCGGGCATGTATGATTAGCATGTACAATTCGCCTGGGCATGCGATGGCAGGACAAGACGCTGCTGCTAGCACTACCACGCACGCAGATGAGTTTCTGATAACGGACCCCGTTCTTGTCAAGTACGACTTGAAGGCGAGCCAGATTGAATTAGGGGTTGGCAATAACAGCCCTCTCCGTTTGCGTCGCCTTCAACCCAGTCGTACCAGCAAGAGCAGCTGATGCACCTCCTGGGCGACTCGGGGCAGGAGAAACGGAGCATGTTCAGCTGCCATGCAAAAGTCAAAGAGCCAAGCAGAAATTGATAGGGTGTTTTCACTAGTGGCGCGGTGGCTGAAGGCATTTCGTGGGCAGTTGGAACTATTTGTATCAAGCAGTTTTGTGGCTACTGGGCGTTCACAAGATAATCTTGAGGCAGGTGTGGGCTCAACGTCTTACATGTTGAAGACTGGTTAATAAATAGGCTAATCGCTTTATGGTCTAGGGTTTAGGGATAGGGTTTCAGGATTTTCGGATATCGAGAGCCAAAGCCTGGCGGTAATGAGTCCACATGCAATTAAAGGAGGACGTGGGGGGAATCAATGCGCCCGTCATGCACCCGACTAGCTTCAAGTTCAAGTTAGAGTCATGACCAGTCATGGCGTTCAGGCCTGTAGGCCTTGCTTTTATGTCATATATAAGAAACAGTGCACCTATGTACTTACATGGATGCAGTCCCTCAACCACGACCCTAGCTAGCCGAATGCCCATGCGCTCCACAGGGTCTCCCACATACCCCTGATGCCCATTCCATCTTTGCTATCGATGTCTGTTGGCCACACCACTCATAAAAAGGTGTTCCAGCTCCATGTGAAAAAACAGTTGCATTCCTTTCTTCACAACATTGCAGCACTCTAACTAGTGCGCAGGCGAATCTGTGGACGCCTTTGGATTGCGATGGGCAACCCAGGCGTGAGCACACTGCGGTCTGGGATCCTGTTCGCCGCCTTATGCTGGTATTCGGGGGCTCAGCCAAGAGCACAACTTCAATCCAAAGCGAGCTGTTTATCTACGATTTGGAGGCGGGACTTGTCAAACCTTCAAGTGGTGTCTTCTCCATATGTGTGTCCAGGTTGGCATCGACTACTACTGCTGCTGCTCCTGCTGCTGCTCCTGCTGCTGCTCCTACTACTTCTACTACTACTACTACTACTACTACTATTACTACTACTACTACTACTACTACTACTACTACTACTACTACTACTACTACCACTACCACTACCACTACCACTACCACTACCACTACCACTACCACTACCACTACCACTACCACTACCACTACCACTACCATTGATCCGCTTGCCGCGCGGTACCGCCCCGGTTGCTTGAGACTGCACGCATCAACATCGCCATTGACAAGCAAGTCACTAGCAAAGCACCCCTAACCCGAAGGAACGTCCGAAGGCAAAGCGCAATTCATCACATAAAAGAGGACAACTGCACGCCACTGTAAGAGACTGTCGCTGCGCACGACGATTCCCGAGTACCGGGCAGGGAGCAGGGGGGAAAGGAGAGTGTGAAAAGGGGGAAATAGGGTCCATGATGCTGAAGGTCGCACCGGAGGTCAATAATATTCAATGATATACAAGAATATACAAGATATGCCAGAACATTCAATATGCAACAATGCACACTAATATACAATAATATTGCAAGAATGAAATAGCACACAAAAATGTTTAATAATATTCAAAAGCATACAAGAACATTCACAAATGCAATATTTGAATAACATAAAACGCTGTTTTTTCCATCATCATTTAGAGCCTGCAAGCAGGCACACAAGAAAATACACAAATGCTGCCATCTACAGCATTTAGAGCATTTGGAGCTTTGGAGTACGCAGCAACGCTGTGTTTTTGAGCATTTTTGGGCCTACAAGCAACCAGAAATGCTGCATTGAAAATGAGCCAGGGCCAACGTTAGGGAAAAAAACACCTCCGCCCCCCAACAACCCCCCGCTTTGTTAAGCCAGCTTGCTTCAAAGCATACGCGTCTTTTCGACGCCTCTGATGTGAGCATTGTGTTTGCAAATGGGGGGGGGGCTGCGCCCCCCTAACCCCCCCGCTTGATTTTGAGTCGTGCCAGGTGCTTCAGCATACTTTCGAAACCCATGATGCGAGAATTCTGTTTGCGCATGGGGGGGGGCGCGCCCCCCCCAACCCCCCGCCCTTTTTCAAATCGTTCTGGCTTGCTTCAGAGTATGCACATTTTTTTGCAACTTCTAATGCCAAGATGCCATCATTGGTTTGCAGCCTTTGCAAGCTCAGAAATGCTGCTATTTACAGTATTCCCAGCCTCTGAAATCGCAGAAATGCTGCTATTTACAGTATTTCCAGCCTCTGATAGTGCAGAACGACTGCTCTCTGGCAACTCAGAAATGCTGCTATTTTGCCTTCGAAGCCTTCAGTAAATTATTTGTTGATCCCAAAAAAGTTCTTTTTTGATCCGCCCTTCCTTTTGGATGCCTGTGCCCTCCACTTGTCTCCCTTTGTCTCCCTTGGTGTTGGATGCCTGTGCCGGGTTGGCGGTGGTTGTCTCCCTTTGTCTCCCTTTGTGTTGAATGCCTGTGCCGGGTTGGCGGTGGCCGGTGCCTCCACTTGTCTCCCTTTGTCTCCCTTCGTGTTGGATGCCTGTGCCCTCCACTTGTCTCCCTTTGTCTCCCTTCGTGTTGGATGGCTGTGCCCTCCACTTGTCTCCCTTTGTCTCGCTTGGTGTTGGATGCCTGTGCCGGGTTGGCGGTGGCCGGTGCCTCCACTTGTCTCCCTTTGTCTCGCTTGGTGTTGGATGCCTGTGCCGGGTTGGCGGTGGCCGGTGCCTCCACTTGTTTCCCTTTGTCTCCCTTGGTGTTGGATGCCTGTGCCCTCCACTTGTCTCCCTTTGTCTCCCTTGGTGTTGGATGCCTGTGCCGGTTGGCTGTGGCCGGTGTCTTTGTCTCCCTTTGTCTGCCTTGGTGTTGGATGCCTGTGCCGGGTTTGCGGTGGCCGGTGTCTCTGCTTGTCTCCCTTTGTCTCCCTTCGTGTTGGATGACTGTGCCGGGTTTGTCTCCTTTGTCTCGTTGAATCTTCCTTTGTCTCCTTTCGTGTTAGATGCCTGTGCGCTCCACTTGTCTCCCTTTGTCTCCCTTGCTGTTGGATGCCTGTGCCTGTTTCGCTCTCTGCGCAGGTTCAGATGCAGGAAATGCAAGAATCGCACGTGGTTTTTTTAGGGCAGCCATAAGAGTCGGGATGCGGATCAAAAAAGATATTTTTAGGATCAAGAAAAATTTATTTTGGACCAAGAAAAATTTTTTTAGGATCAAAAAATAATTTATTCGGTTCTTCCGCTGGAGCGAGGGAACCGGAGGGAGGGAGGGAGAAAAGGAGGGAGGGAGGGAGAGAAGGAAGGGCGGAAGGACGAAAGGAAGGAAGGAAGGAAGCAAGCAAGGAAGCAAGGAAGCATGGCAGCAAGGAAGCAAAGAAGCAAGGAAGCAAGGAAGCAAAGAGGCAAGGAAGGAAGGAAGGAAGGAAGGAAGGAAGGAAGGAAGGAAGGAAGGAAGGAAGGAAGGAAGGAAGGAAGGAATAAATCAAGAAATCAAGAAAGAAAGCAAGAAAGAAAGAACAATGAAACAAATAACAAAAAAAGAAGCAAGGAAGAAGCCGTGCCAGCTTGCTTCAAAGCATACGCATCTTTTCGAAACCCATTATGCGAGCATTGTGTTTGCAAATGGGGGGCGGGGCCCACCCCAACAACCCCCCGCTTCATTGAAGTCGTGCCAGCTTGCTTCAAAGTATACGCGTCTGTCGACGCCTCTGATGTGAGCCTGCACCCCCCTAACCCCCCGTTTTATTTTAAGTCGTGCCAGGTGCTTCAGCATACTTTCGAAACCCATGATGCGAGAATTCTGTTTGCGCATGGGGGGGGCGCGCCCCCCCCCAACCCCCCGCCCTTTTTCAAATCGTTCTGGCTTGCTTCAGAGTATACGCATTTTTTTGAAACTTCTGATGCCAAGATGCCAGGATTGATTTGCAACCTCTGGAAACACAGAAATGCTGCTATTTACAGTATGTCCAGCCTCTGAAAGCGCAGAAATGCTGCTATTTACAGTATTTGCAGCCTCTGGAAACTCAGAAATGCTGCAGTGTACAGTATGTCCAGCCTTTGAACTGCTGCTATATACAGTATCTGCAGCCTCTCTGAAAACTCAGAAATGCTGCTATTTTCAGTAGTTCCCACATGAGTGCTGTGTTTTTTCGGTATTTAGAGCTTGCGAACGGCCAGAAATGCGGCATTTCTGAGCGTTTACAGCCTCCGCTCCGCTTGCAACAAGCCTTCGAAGCCTTCAGTAAATCATTTTTTGATCCCAACAAATTTTTTTGACCCGCCTAGAAAAAATTATTTTTTGATCACAAATAAATTTTTTTGATCCCCTACCCTCCAAGAGTCTGGCGGCGTTGTAGGGGATTGAAGCTTAGCAGAGCCGAGCAAGGTGTGCCCAGCTGCCACGGGCACAAGGTAGTTTAGCTACCGAATATCTCGAAAGCAACTGTTTTGGCGACAGGGGAGTTTACGTGCCGATTTTGTTGCAGGCTTGATGTTTAACAAATTTTGCATCAGTCTTATATTCACGCATCTTGAACGCCGCATAATGCCATTTGACACTTGACACCAGCTGTATGATGTGAACGCAGTGTGGGTTGGCTAGTTCTACGTTGCAGGGTAAGTTGATGAAGTACAGCAATTCCGCGGTTCGTTTCGGTTCTTGGCCTGCTCGGTTCATGCATGTCCGGTTTTCTATCCGACCGCACAGCCCAGGCCCTGGCCTCTTGCATCCAGATGTCAGGAAAGAAAGGGGGTCAAAGGGCGCATGGGGCGTAGGGGGCAGAGGTTCAGGATTCCAGAGGCTCAAAAGGTGTAAGGGTGCAGGGTGTGGGGGTTTTGGACTGTGGGGTGTGATGAGGGCTCTTGGAGTCTGTGTGGGTGTGTTGTATAGTAGGGCTGTGGGGGTGAGGAGAGGGTGCGAAGTTCGAAGGGTGTGGGGAGGTGTATCATGGGGGTCAGGCTTGTAGGGGTCTGGGGCTGTAGGACAGGGCTGTTGCAGGCTTATGTGGGTGGGGCCGCAGGTGGTGTAGAGGGCCCGGGTGTATAGGTCGAGAGGGAGTGTGGGGGATGGTGTCAACTGCACATAATGTGGAAATCGCCACAAAAGAAACCGTAAGGTCTGGCGGGCAAATTTTTAAACTTGGGCGAGCGGGGCATTTACTTTCGGGCTTGCCTACGGCCT